ATGAATCTACATAGCCCCAGACTGGGGGCTAGTCTACTGGACTCCCTCCGCATCCTAGGCCCCACAGTGGTCCATTCAAAAAGTGGGGACTCAGCGAAAATACCGTCCATGAAACCCCTTTTGTGTGTATGGATCACTCACCCCATCAATACTCTGATGTATTACTTTGGGCGATTTCGAATTTTGTAGCAGTCCGTGAAATTTTGATTTCACAGTGATTAACTCCCAATCCTAACTGATGCCAAACACAGTCAGGATCTATTTGGGCTGGGAACCAAACAGCATTTCCAAATGAACAGCGCCGTCAGTCATTTATGCATACCCCAACCATCACAGTGCATTTCTTTTCAGGAGCCTCTACATTATTGGCCCCCTGCAAGCCAATGATGTTACTGTTGCCTGAACCTTTGTCTGAAATGCATCTCACTTTTCATTTCTCAGAACGGGATGAAGATGAAGCTTCATCTGACTCCGCAGCAGGGCATGAGTGGTAGCGGAAATGCCCACGTCACCGTAGATATGAGAGTTACTTGCCCTCCAAAATACCCGGAAGAGTAAGTAAGCAGGGCTGTGCCCAGCTGTGGGGCCTTGTTGCAATGGGCAGCTACTTTGATTGAACGGTGTCACCGTTAGAGATTGTGATGATTGACAAAGGCTTTAGCTCTCAGACTGTTTGGCCTATTACATCATGTTAAATCTTGCCAAAATTCTGTTGGGTTCATATTAATACATATGCACATGAACAACCTCAATGGTCTTGTCAATGTCTTTTTTCTCCAGCCTCTTTTTCCAGCTACATATATGTACAGCATACCCATATGAAGTGAATTCACAACATCATACATCGGAAATTCAAGCAGTCTAACTCACTCTATTTAAACTTTTAATTATTTTGAAATTTGTCAAGCTGAGTGATTTTATCATATTTACGTTGAAGAAAAATCCTTTGAAAAATTCACATTCCTAGAAATATGTGCAAAAAAGTGCATCAACAGTATAGTGCAATCTGTCCGTATTTATACCACTATTTTACAATTTATAGCATGAAACGCTACTGCAGAAATGTTTTCTGATTGCTACAAATGAAAAAGTCAATACAAAATTTGTCTGCAGGCCACACTTTGGTGCTAGCTGCAGTTTCTTTCAGATAGTTGCAATTTCCTCAGTTCCTTTGTGTTCTTTCACAGGCTTCCAGACATAATGTTTGAGAAAGAGAAGGGATTGTCAATAGACAAGTTGAAGCAACTAAGCAAAGAGATCAACAGTATGGCCAGGAAACTTAAAGGAGAGGTGAGTGTCTCTGAAGATTATGCGACAATGTTAAGGGTATTTTGTTCTTAATTTCAACTTTCCTGAAGGCCGGTTTGGACTTCACGTAAATGCAAAAATGAAGCAAATTTGATGTCACGAAAAATCTGCAGTGAAATTCGCCCAAGTTGAAATGTGTTTACTTTACGAAATCGCAACACCCTTTTCAGGGGCCCTTGGCATATTCCTTGTACTCAAACTTTCAAGGGGCATCAAGCTACATGCACATTTAAAGTGAAAGTGGTTTGACTCTGTCTTCTTCAATCCAACAAAATTCTCTAAAATATCTAGATTCAAAGGTCCTAGGAGGGTTAGGTTTATAAGAGCTTCTCAATCTTTTGAATAATTCATTGTTTTAAAAAACAAAAGTTTTCACAGAGTTGGTCCATTTTAATTAAAAAGGGATTACTTAAAATCAGAATGCATTAAACTCTCTTGAATTGTGCAGGCTAATCCGACATTCAGAATTTGAAGCAATTACTGTGCAGCGACATAAAGCTTGCACATACACATGTATGTGGCATGCACATATGAAATGTTTCATTGACCAATCCACCTTGAACTGAAGAAGCCCTTATGAGTTGAAAAGAGCCATGTTGGTGGGAAGTGTTCATTTTGTTGGTAGCCATGCGTCTATGCCGCTTGCATTTCGTAGTTAGTGAACCAGCAAAGTGCAGTTTCCACCAGAGGAGCCTCTGTTGGTAGGAAAATTGGGCCCTCTCTTGGTCCCGCATGGGACGGATAGGGCACTGCGACTTGTCAAAATGTGAGTGCGTCAGGTTTAACAACATTCACAGGAGTGTAGCGCCATTGCATAATTGCACCCCTCCAGATTAGTCTCTGGTCCAGATATCAAATTTCATCGCCGAAGGGAACGCCTATTTCCTCCAGAGACAAGAGACAAGACCCTTTTCATTTCCTCTGGGGTGCAGGTGATGGTTCTAGAGCTGGCGCAGCACGTGCAGGCGTTCCTCCACAAGCACAACGTGCCCGGCCATAAATCCTTCTACGAGGAGATGATGAGCAACAAGAAGAAGGAGCAGGAAGAGGCGGCAAAGGAGAAAGAGAAACAGCAACTGCTTCAACGGAAGAGAGAAGAGAAGGAGGTAAACTAGACTGGTAGCTTGCTATCATGGTCAAGCAAGTGCCCACATAGCTTGTATTTATGCCGTTGGTTTTAGGGACCAGTCAGTAAGCTGCCATAGGCAACATACATGTATGCCTGCTTCAAAAAATCAGGAATGATACAAGTTTCATCGGTGTTCAAGACTTGCAACAAAGTTAAACATATTTCCTCATCCTTTGTTTTTTTTCAATTTCTGCTGGGCCAACCAAAGATATTTGAAGATATTTTCATTCTAAAGATGATCACTCTTAAAAATGATTGTAAAGCCCATTGCCAGTTTGAAAACTGAACCCTGCACTCCACAGCAAAATAGAGCCATTTGGAAGGCTCTGTTTTGTCACAATTTCTCAGAAATACAAGCTGGCAGTCCTGTTGGGAGCTTCCACACGTCTGTTTTAGTTAAAACCCTCCAATCCGTGGACCAAAAAATGCTCTAATAGCAGAGAATTTTGATGGCTTAGAAGTTGAGGTTTGGCTTAGCCAGTTAGAGGCCTTTTTACAAGTCTGCAACCGTTGCTTGCTATACATGTATGAAATATCGTTTCCTGTCCTCTGATTTGTGAAGTTCTCAAGCCTTGGAACACTTGGGCTGTGTTTGAGCATACCGCTTGTGTTAATGAGTTCACTCCTGAGCACACAAAGGAAGGAGTAGGACTCGTGGGTGAGCAAGTGTAGACATGTACTCCCCATCAGGCTAGAAGGGTACTCTGTTATCTTGTGGTTATTTCAAGATGACGGAAAGGTAACCATGGATCATTTGCTCAATGTGATCTGAGAGTGCTGTGCATGCAACATCCTCCTGAA